GAGGTTATCTAATAGAGAGACTAGAACCTTATATAGCTATTATAAGCCGTATATATTAAAAAGATCCAACAATTAATTAATAAAATAGACTGCCGACATAATACGCCTATGGCTAGTATAGAGCTGAAGCCCCGCATAGGGTTAGCCTTACCATTAGAGGTTAATAAGTATTAATGGAAGATTGGATCCCTACTATTTGCCGTTATAATAACGCGCCTAGATATTGCTTTCGCCATATTACGATTGGCCTAATTCCTTATAAACCCAGGCCAAGAGTACTATAATGTAGCTAATCAAGTACTCCTTTATCTCGGAGCAATAAGGCAAAAAGCCCTATAGCTAGGAGGCGGAGATACCCTTTAGGTTGCCAGTAATACCTCTTTTACTAACAATACTCTGGATCGGAAAAGCTCACAAGGATATATAATTAAGCTGTTTAGTGGCTTAATCGCGTGGCGAGCAAATAAATAGGATACCATTATAATATTAATAACTAAGGTAGAGCTCCTAGCCCTTACGTAAGTGGCCAAGGAAGTAATATACCTCTCCTAACTATTAAAGGAGCTGAGGATTAACCTACCCAGCACTATAATTACAATCCAATGTAATAACAAATAGATAATTTGGCTGGTAACCTAGGAAGTATTAAAACTCCAGACTAAGCTTTAACATGTGGATATCCACACCCACTGGCTAAGACAAGAGGTCGCTGCTAGAACAATCACCGTTAAGTATATTAGATCGGATGATATAATTACTAATGGACTCACTAAGGTGTTGCTGGCCAATAAATGGCAAGGCCTACTTAATTAACTAGGTCTTATTAACGTAATAAGTATAGAGGTAATAAGAACTATACCACTTAACGAGATATAGGACTACCTTCACCGAGTACTCTAACGATTAATCGCCCAATTAATTAGCTTAGGGAGTGATATCGCACCGAGCTGAGGGGGTATGTCAGATATAAGGGCGTGTTCTAAGTATCTTAGTGTTGTTATTAGATGGCTGGGGCGGAGGCTAGAGGTAGGATATTGAGACTTGGCCAAAATAGGGCTAGGATAGGTTATCTACCAAGACCCACACCAAAGGGCGCCCTAGATAGAACCTCGGCCAATACACTAGATAATGAACCCATCTTATCTCTAGATTACTAATATTCATTAAATTACTATATGAATCTGACACTACGTGTAGGTACAAGACGTTGGATAAGGAGAAAAGGTCCTCTCCCCTATCTAGCGTAGATCTATCTTCTCGCTTCGTCACACGCCCTCGCCAAGGGTGGCTAGCGCCATGCTTTGACTAATTAGCTAGTAGACGGGCCACCCATCTAATAATCTATTAACTGGCTGCTAGCGCGCGATATCTCTAAGATATACTACTACCAGCAGTATATCCATGCTTGTTAGGTAGCCTCTAAGGTTACCGTGATAATAGGCTCTATAAATACCAAATAGAGAAGAAGGAATTAGGGAAGCCTACCTTTAGATAAAAGGCTAACACTAAGAGACACTAATGAGAAT